TGGTTTCCCGTGCTCGTGTCTGTTGGCGTGCACGTCTCCCTGTCCCCCGTTGGTTTCCCGTGCTCGTGTCTGTTGGCGTGCACGTCTCCCTGTCCCCCGTTGGTTTCCCGTCCAGTAGGAAGTGAGACAATGGTGCAGTGCGTGTGAGAGCGTGCTGGTGGGGGCTGTGGGTGATGTATGACTTCTGTCCTGAACGCGGCTCCTGTGGAAAACAACAACTATTGTTTCCAGCGTCCCTCGGGACCCAAACAGAGCAGGAAGCGGAGCGTGGGGCGTTCAGGCGCAGCTCTGGTTTGTGAAGGTCCTGCTGGTGGAGCAGGCCGTGTGCAGCCTGACTACAGATCAGCAGGTCTACAGCATAGATGTTTGGGATGTAGATAGATGTCTGCAGGTAGACAAGCCTCCATAAAGCCTTAGTGACCAAAGTGATGCAGAGAGAGGAGAGCTTTCAACCCGCTGGTTGATTGAACTTCTTTGCAGTTTTTTGTTAATTCATGGAACAAAACCAATGATAAGATAAACAGAATATATGTTTATTAAAACAGTTTTATCTTCATTTAAAGCAGCAGTTTATCTTTTTACTGGATGTGTGATTATAGAACTGAAGCCTTCAGTGATCTAGATGCTTCTGTGTTATCAGCACCATTCTATTCTCTTTATTTCTATGGGCTAATTCACATCAGATCATCTTAGGTCACATAGATCCAGATCAATCAGATCATCCAGTCACATTAACTTTACTAGATGAGCAAGAAGAGAAAGTTGATATTGACCCTACCGGGCATGCATGCAGTGACAGTGGAGAGGAAAACTCCCCTTTGAACAGGAAGAAACCTCCAGCAGAACAAGAAACAGATCCACGGCTGCGCTTCCTGCGTACAGTTACCCAATCGCCTGGCTGCTCAGGCACTGCTGGAGGACGGGTACGTGGGGGGAAGCCTGGATTCTAACTCTGACCAGTTGGAAGACGCTATGTTTTAAAGTGGAGTTACTGAGATCCACAGATATCCCAGAAAAACAGAACTTAGATCAGACAGAGATAGACTGGACAGCAGCAGAGCGTAGGTCTACAACAACCAGAACTGTATTATGCTTTATAATGGCATTTTAGCTTTTAAAACACTAATGTTTTATTTCCAGCTGAGTCCTTTTTATTGTAAGAATTAAACTTGTTTTAAATCTATATCTGGTTTTCGAGCATTAAGATAAATTCATTCAGTAAAAATTCCTTGATGAACCAAATGAATCAGCGGCGACTCTTTAATGAAGCTGCTGCTGCATCATCAGATAAATGGCGGTTATTTGTGTGGCCTTTAATTCTTCACAGGGATTCCAGTCCAGGAACCAGAGCGGCCATATTTCAGGTGGTGGTTGAGCTCATTTTGTGTCTTCTTGTCCTTTACCTGAGCGCTGAGCGAGTTTAATAGCAGCCCAGGCAGCAGGACATGAAGGATGTGTTTAATGTCAGCCTGTTATAAAGTTCCCGCCTGGCCACGCAGGGAGAGAAAGACTTAATAAAAGTGAAGGAGAGCGTGATGGAGGAGAGGCAGGCTGACCTTTCTGTGGAGCTCAATAATGAACACTCTGATGGCGGCGGCGACGACAGGGGGGGGCGGCGTTCAACATGTCCACTCGTATGTGAACACAGGTCTGCTACGTGTCCTGCAGCAAAAAAAAAACACATTTCCCATCATGCACCTGCAGCTCCACTAGAACTGAACAATTGACTGAATAACTAACTAAGTTACCGACTGACTGACTACCTACCCAACTGACTGACTACCTAACTGAATAAGTTACCGACTGACTGACTACCTA